AACTATAAGATAATGTATTTATGTTGTTTTAAGCCAATAAATTTGTGGTAATTTGCTACAGTAGTAATAGAAAACTAATATGCTGATATAGCTCAAATAACACACTTCTAAGTAGCCAATGGACAGAAAAAGAAAAAGAAATCAGTGGAAAAATTGGAAAGTATTTAAAACTGGCCAAGTGTGGTGACTCATGCCTGAAATCCCAGTATTTTGGGAGGCCGAGGTGGGAGAATTGCTTGAGTCTAGGAATTCAAGATCAGCCTAGGCAACATAGCAAAACCTCATCTCTACAAAATATTTAAAAGATTAACTGGGTCTGGTGGCACGCACCTATAGTCCCAGCTACTCGAGAGACTGAAGAAGAATTGCAGCCTGGGCAACAGAGTAAGACCCCAAAAAAGTATTTAAAAACTGAATGATAATGAAAATGAAAACACAATATATCAAAAATTGTGGGTTCTAAAGCAATATTTAGAAGAAAATGTATAGAATTTAAAATCTATCTTTAAAAAAAACAAAGGTCTCAAACAATAACCTTAGCTTCCACCTTAAGAAACTAGAAAGAAGCTGGGCTCAGTGGCTCAGCCTGTAATCCCGCGCCTTTGGGAGGCTGAGGTGAGTGGATTGCCTAAGCCTGCGGGTTCGAGACCCACCTGGGCAACTTGGTGAGACCTCATCTCTATAATAGATCAAAATGAGCCAGGCATGGTAGCGCGCGCCTGTAGTTCCAGCTACTTGGAAGGCTGAGGCAGAAGGATCGCTGGAGTCCAGCAGGTCGAGGCTGCGGTAGCCGGGAGCGGCCACAGCACTCCAGTCTGGGCGATAGAGTGAAACTCCAACTCAAAAAAAAAAAATAGAAAGAAACTAGAAAGAGTAAATTACCCTAAAGTAGACAAATAATAAGAATATATATTAGCACTGAAATCAATAAAGTAGAAAACAGAAAAACAACAGAGAAAATCTGTGAAACTTTCCAGAAATAAACAATTTGAAAATAACCAAAAAGAGATAGTCCATAGATTGATAAAACTGGTAAGTCTCTAGCCAGATGAATCAGGAAAAATAAAACATAGAAGACACAAATTACCAATATCAAGAATGAGAGGTGGCATCACCACAGGTACTATGCATATTAAAATAATAAGATAGGAATGCTATTGTCTTAGTTCATTCAGACTGCTATAACAAAAAGTGTCATAGACTAGGTGGCTTAAACAACATTTACTTCTCACAGTTCTGGAAACTGGGAAATCCAAGATCATGATGCTGACAGATTCAGTGGCTGGTGAGCATTCACTTTCTGATTCATAGATGGCATCTTTTTACCCTGATAAAAAGATGCCATCCCCACAGGGTAGAAGGGGCAAGGGAACTCTCTGGGTCCTCTTTTATAAGGGCACTAATATCATCCATGAGGGCTCCACCCTCATGACCTAATGACCTCTCAAATGTCCCACTTTCTTTTTTGTTTTTAAGAAAGTAGAAAGAAGTAAAGTTTATTATTCACCTTTCACAGATTGGAAAGGGGACCGAAACTCAGAGGCAAGCACAGAGGTTAGATTAGAGAATATAGTTTATTTAGAAAGTAAAGTAGAGAGAGAGAAAGAGGATAGTCGCCTCCCCAAGGTAGGGGCACCAGCCATAGCTCAAGAACAAGGCCCCACCTTCTAACATCATCACCTTGAGGATTAGGATTTCAACACAGGAATTTGGGTAACACAAACATTCAACTCATAACAGTTATGAACAATTTTATGCCAATAAATATGACAAAGAAAAAAATTAATATGTTCCTTGAAATACTCACTGAAGTTGAAATAGTCTAGCCCTTTATATATTAAATAAATAGCACTTGTAGTTTAAAAAATCCTCCCACAAAGAAAACTTCAGACCTAGTAAAATCTACTAAACATTTGTAGGATAAGTAATATCAATTCTATACAAACTCTTCCAGAAAATTGAAGATCATTTTTCCAGTGTGTTCTATGGAAACTAGATTTGCCCTGTGTTGATTACCCTGGTTAATTTTATGTACTAAATTAGCTGGGCCATGGCACCTAGATATTTAGTCTAATACATAGGGATGTTGTGAAAGAATTTTTGTGAATGAGATTAACATTTAAATCAGTAGCCTTTGAGTAAAGATTACTCTCCATAATGTGAGTGGACCTCATCCAACCACTTGAAATCTTTAAGAGAAAACAGACAGGTTCTCCAAGGAAGAGGAATATCTGCCTCTAAATTGTCCTTGGACAGCTGCAACAGTCACCCTTCCTGGTCTCCAACCCGCCAGCATGCCCTGCAGATTTTCAACATGTTGATCTCTATAGTCACATGAGCCAATTTTTCTAGAAATTCACCGAAGATCACAAAAAAGACAAAGTTATATTCTAGTCATTCTATTCCTGAGTACTTATCCAATAGAAATAAAAACAAAACTACTTGGAAGGCTGAGGCAGGAAAATCACTTGAATTCAGGAGTTCAGGGTCAACCTGGGCAATATAATGAGACTCCATCAAAATCATTTGTGTTTTGTTTGGTTTTTTGGGGTTTTTTTTGGTTGGAGTCTTACTCCACAGCCACCCCAGTCTCCACCTGCTGGGCTCAGGTGATCCTTCCACTTCAACTTTCCAAGTAGCTGGAACTACAGGCATGCACCACCATGCCCTACAAAAAAGTAGTAAGTTCTTTGAAGTACATGTCCACAATAACTGATAAGAACATTCATAGCAGCTTTATTTGAAATAGCCCCAACCAGGAAACAATGCAAAAAACTATCAACAGATGAAAGGATAAACAAATGATGGAATATCCATATAAAGAAATATAACAGGACAATAAAAAGGAATGAACTATTGATACTTGCAACAAAGTAGATGAGTCAAAACAAATACGCTAAGTGTAAGAAGCTAAACAAAAAAATTACATGTTTTATTTCATTTATATAAGACTTTAGAAAAATGAAAATTACAACATCAATAAGGGTACTTGATCTCAAACCAGGCAAAGTGGGGACAAAAGGGAGGCCCAAACTTTACCTGTATGATGACCACTTGTCTACCTAATTCCAAAGATACCCGGCATCTTTAAAATAACATGAAATAAAGAAAAACTAATCTATAGTAACAGCAAGCAGATTAGCGGTTGTCTAGTGGTGGAGGGGATGAGGAGGGAAAGATTTTTTCAAGGAGTTAGATATGCTTTATTTTTTTTATTGCGGTGATGTTACACAAGTGGATACATATGTCAAACTTATCAATTTTATATTTTAAATATGTACAGTTTATTCATGTCACTTACCTTAATAAAGCTGTTTTTTAATGTATTTATTTTTGAGACAAAGTCTCACCCTGATACCCAGGCTGGAGTGCAGTGGTGCAATCATAGCTCACCTCAGTCTTGAACTCTTAATTTTTAAATTTTTTTGTAAAGACAAGGTCTTTGTGCTGCCTAGGTTGGTCTCAAAATCCTGACCTCAGAGCATTCTCCCACCTCAGCCTCCTAAAGTGCAGTAGTAAAGATATAAATGGTACAAATAAATCTGAACTATGAATGAAGCATGTGGAAATTGGAGGTTCATTCTGTCTCTCATGAAATTAGGTTCTGTGTTTATCTTGAGAAGGTGGTGGCCAAAATTCTCCAGTTCTCTGACTGTGTGGTTGCTAATTCTTTTCTCCTTTGGGAGCCCTGGTCTAGGAAATTTCCATTATCATTAAAGTTTCTCTGAAGTTCTTTAAATTATGTGTATAAGCAGAGAACAAAAGCGAGGAGGTACCTAGCTCTGGGATCCAGGAACAGACACAAAGAACACAAGAGAGTAAGTGGCCTCAATTCTTCCTCTAAACCAGAGACTCTCTTTGGACTGCTTCAGAATCACCTGGGTGGGACCCCAGTATCTATACGTTTAATAAATCCTTCAGGTTCACAATGTTTCAAAACCATGATTAACCCACTGGCTGAAGATGATTCCTATTAAAAATTTCCAGGCCGGGCACAGTGGCTCACGCCGGCAATTTCAACACTTTGGGAGGCCGAGGCGAGAGGATTGCTTGAGTCCAGGGGTTCAAGACCAGCCCAGGCAACTTGGCAAGACCTTATCTCTCCAGGAAATCAAAAAATTAGACAGGTGTGGTGGCGTGTGGCTATAGTTCCAGCTACTTGGAAGACTGAAATGGAAGGATCGCCTGAGCCCAGCAGGTCGAGGCTGCGGTGGCCACTGTACTCCAGCCTGGGCAACAGAATGAGATGGGAAGGGGAGAGAAGGGC